CTATGTAACACAACACGATAAAATCGGAAATGAAGAGTCAAAGCAAAACCGAGACCGATGGCGATGATCTGGATCGCGACGCAGCATAGCGGCTCGTCAAACGGGGAAACAAGTCAGGCTGAAGCCGTCGTGTCTTGCCACTGATGAGCCAGGCCACGTATATATATGGTTGTCGTTGTGCGATACAACGATTGACTTGAGACACCGGCTCGCTTTCCTCACGTACTAGACGCATTTTACAACTTGTCAGGTATTAACATGTTATCTTCAGGAGTGCTGACAGCGGTATTAGCAGCTTGTGCTGCAGCCACCGGCTCTGGGATCAGGGCACGGGGGATTGTCGCCAACGATGGTGTCAGATGCGCTTGTAACCAGCTTGAAACCGCTGACCCCGAAGCACTGCTTCGCCCCAACTCGACCCAATACAACGCTCAGTGCATCAATGTGTGGGACAAACGCTCCAACCTGGCTCCAGCCTGTGTATATCTCCCCACGACGGCCGAATCCGCTGCCAATGCTATCGGCATCTTCAATACGTGCGGCGCTCAGTTTGCCGTCAGAGGTGGTGGACACATGAATGTATGAGCAAATGTTCGGTGCAGGATTTGTACACAGCGCTGACGAGAATGTTTCCAGGCCCCAGGCTCCAACTCTATCAATGACGGCGTACTTCTCGCACTCAACAACCTGAAAGACATCAAGGTCAATGACGAAGACCTCACCATCGAAGTGGCCCCTGGCAACAAATGGGTTGACGTATACGAAGCTCTTGCCCCTTTCAAGCGCTATGCCATCGGTGGCCGACTCAAGACCATTGGCGTACCCGGCCTGACTCTGATCGGTGGTGTCAGCTATTTCCTCAACAAATATGGATATACCATGGACAACGTTGTCAGCTATGATGTGATATTGGGGAACGGAACATCAATCCAGGCCAGTCAGGACATCAATCCTGAGCTCTTCTGGTCCTTGAAGGGCGGCGCTGGTAACTTTGGTCTCGTAACCAAGTTCGTCATGAAGACGTACGATGTGCCTCTGGTCACGAGCACAATGCAGATATTCAACGAGTCTGCTGTCCCAGCATTCATCAAGGCCACTTGCGACATGGTGCTCTCTGAAGACGATTCTGTAGGTGCCGGTGCTGTCATCAACCTCAACTACAACGCCAGCACCAAGTCGGTCACGCCTCAGATCTTTGGTCTCCAGGAAACTCCCGAGTTGCCGCCATCCCGCTTTGCCAACTTTACCGCCATTCCGGCCGTGAAACGCATCCATAATGTCACGGAGCCCGTCCACTGGCACTCCAAGTTGGAAAGCCCGAACCAGATGTTCCGGTGAGCAATCACTCCAGTGTGACTTCTTCGATGCCAAGTGTTTTTCTGACATCGTGTAGCATTCAATTCGGTCATCATACGATCAAGCCGGATGCTGATCAGCTGTTCTGGATATACCAACAGTGGCGCAATGCCGTTGAAGACATTGCCGATGTTGAGGGTATTCTTCCGACTCTTGTGCTCAACTCTGCTCCCAAGTCTGCCGCCGCCGTTGGAAAGAACAATGGCGTCGGTAATGCCTTTGGCCTGAACACGGAAGAGTCCTACATCTGTAAGAGCTCAAGTCTTCTCCAAACGCCACGAAACGATACTCATAGTGGACAGGGTGGCAAATCGCAACTTCCTGGGATCGCCCTGAGGATGACCTCAGACTTGAGGCCTGGGCAAAGAACCTTCTCGGACGTCTCCACAAGGCAAACAAGGACAAAGGCCTGGCTACGGAGTTCCTGTATATCGGTGACGCCGCCGAGTGGCAGGACCCTATCCAGACATATGGCGAAGAGAACTTGAAGAGGCTGAGGGCTGCGCGCGACCAGTACGATCCTCAACTAGTTTTCACAAAGCTCGCTTGGGGTGGATTCAAACTTGGCTATTAAGGGGCTCGAAGTCGGTTACGGAGCGTCATCGGGGCAACAGGCAGCGAAATGGTGACTTGGGCGATCTTCTCTCTTAACGCTTTCCTCCTTTTCTCTGGCATGTAAATAGCAGCATATGGCACGTGTATGATTGGCGCCAATTTTTTCCCGATCAAGTCGTTTGAAACAGCCCAAGGTACCTCACTATGGAAATTCAAGAACAGCGTAAACGGCGTTTCTCGTCAGCTTCTCTGGCTGAGGATAGAAGCCCTCGGTGCTCGTGACCAAGGTTCCAGAATGAAACAGACTGTCTCTGGGAAAGGTGGTGAAGGGCCGTGCCAGGAGGTGCTGTAATGTTTCTCTCTATTCTTCTACGACTCTACCAAGCGCCACGTAACGACTAAGCATCATAACAATTTTCCCAACAGCTCGCCCCCACGGTAACCCCGTTACAAGGCTTACCTTTCGTAGCACTACCTTGAGGCTTGTAGCGTTGCCTAGATTCTTTCTATGATTCACTGGTCAAACGCATCACTCAAAGGGGCCCGTAATTCCATGATCATGTATCTTGTAAGGTAGGTAGGCATGTGCTGACTTGTTGTTTACGACACCTTCGTCATAATCCCTTTCCAGCAGACATCCCCCTCCGAAAATTACTCTTACCCATTTCCCTTGCAAACCAACTCGAGTCGATAGAGTTGACTTATCACTTCAGGGACACTTTCTCTACAGCTGCTGAAAGACCACCTCGGGGGCACAGTCTTCAGCCTTCGACTACCTTCCTGAACTCTACACCACAGTTGCCTCGCTTGAACATAGCACCGCCCGGAGTCTCTAAAAGTACGGTTTCGTTTGACTATTAAGCCAGTCAAGATGCCTCCCAAAGCTGCCGCTGCCGCAGGCGACTCCTGTCCCCTCAGCGCCAATGAAGCCAACTTCATCAAAGTCATGTTCGACAACATGAAAACCAGGCCTGACGCCGACTGGGACAAGGTAGCTGAGACGCTCGGTCTTGCCAATAGCAAGGGCGCCAAGGAGCGCTTCCGCCAGATGTCCAAGAAGCACAGTTGGGGTACCCATGAAGCAGGCAGTGCCAGCCCCGCCAAGCCCGCCGGCAAGTCTTCCACTGCTGCCCGTCCACACAAGTCCGCCAAAGTCACCAAAACCCCTAGGAAGACGCCAGCCAAGAAGAAGGTATGCTGCTTTTTTGCAGAGTCTTTGGGCGTATCTCATATTAACCTGCAATAGCAAAGCACTCGTGTCGATACTCCAGAGCCTGAGGACCCTGTCCTCGAATCGGACCGCGAAGAGCAGTCTTCTGCTACTCTCAACAGTGACGAAGATGGTGCTTTTGAGCCTTGAGATTGCTTGTTCTCTGGGCCACAAAGTATGCTTGGGTGTGGGCATGGGCAGTTGATACGGTCTATGGTCTCAACTAGGCTTTGCTTTTCATTCGGGATGACGGCGAAAGCCTATGGAGTTCAGGAAGGCCCATATACCAGTGGAATATCTACTTCATTCAGACCGTCATTGCTTGTTCCTTGTGCTTTGTTATAAGCAAGCTCCGAATTCGTTGATGAATACGCTCACAGGGTGGACACGTGCAGGGATCAGACTTGAACTTCTCGTAGCAAGCCTATCCACGGATGAAATAAAAGACTGCAGTCTACGTAATTCCTGAGTCAATCTCTTCGATTTTGAGTCTTGATTGTCTGGTATTTCCATCGTGACTGGTTTGATGCCCCGTTTCCACCATTCAATGAAGCGAAGTAGCATCCGGAGGCACTCAAATCAACGTCGCCAAGGCCATTCAAAGACTTTCTCTCAACAAGTGTGGTTCTCGTGCTTTCTCGCCCGGTTTTTACCTTCCCTAACAGATCTGTTCACAAGTTGAGGCATGAAGGAACTTCTTTCCTCTCCATCACTGCCTGTTGGACAACAGCCTTCTGGGTTTCCGCCCTTTCTTCACCACCACCACGTTACTGACCAGGCTGAAAGGCACCTCTCTCTCAACCCATTCGACGCTACAACAATCGAAAAAGAAGATTATTTGTTCCTCAAAAACAAAGTGCATCTGACCGAAGACCACGATCATGCCTCCAAAGACTGCTCCTCTCGCCGCCTTCTCCAGTTCTTCCGATGACTCATGCGAGGCTTCTCTACCCGCATTTGACGATCTGGAGAAGAACCTTTTCTTGGCCATGTTTCTGAGCCTCAATAGCAAGCCCGATATCGACTGGGAGACAACAGCATCCAAGGTCTCCCTCAAGAACGCGGACACATGCAAGGTACTGCCGCTCCCAAGCTCCCTGGAGGGGCACCATCCGTTTTCTGACCATGAGTCAGACTCGCTACGGCCAGATTTGCCGCAAGCATGGCATTCGGACCTACAATCAGATTTTCGCCAAGCACCGCGCTGCCGCTACTTCCTCCAAGGGCAAGACCACCGGCAAGGCATCGGTCACTCTCGACAGTGCTGGAGTTCGAAAGGCCACCGGACGGGTTGGTTCAAAGGGACAATACACTGTTACCAAAACCGAGATCGAGGTCGAAGACGATCTCAAGAATGGTGTCATCAAGGACGAAGGGGTCAAGGCTGAGAAGTGAATGAGCTTTGACGATATGATGGCTGATAGATGGAAGTACTTGCTGAGGGGCCTTTACCCATCTCGAATGAACGTTCACTAGCTCAGCGGTGTCTAGCTAGTGAGCTTATGATACTTTACTTGTAGTAGCACCAGAGGTTGAACACGCCTAATCAGGGACCATCTTCATACATTTAGCTTTCTATCAGACATTGAATCTCGTCTTTCCCCATCACGGTGCCTAGATTCCAACGTGGACAATCGATGCTTCGCTTTGGGGCGTTGTAGCGACCTTGTGGCCTGCCAAAGCTGGGCATGAATCATGGCGGTCGTGCCGGGTCGGAGGTACATGCACACAAATTATCGCCCGAGACACCCATGTTCCGATCCCAGTATGTCTAGAAACACGCCCCCAAAGGACAAACGACAGTCGAGCCCTATGGCTCGAACCATGGCAAGTCTATACAACCCAAGTCTATACAACCCAAGCTCCGAAACGGCCATGTCTAAAACTCCGACGATCCCAAAATCTGGCCTCGAGGCCATTCCATCAGTGCCTCGAAGTCAGGCTCTCCAGCGACCAACCCGTCTATGCTCTGCAGCACCGGCTTGGCCCAGCCTCGAAAATACCAGATGCGACTCTCCAAGATGCGCAGAAACACGCAGTAGTGCGCCAGCAGGAGCAGCGCCGCCGGCGCGCGTCCTCGCACGTCGGCCAGCACGCGGCCGCTGACCTCGTAGGCCCAGATGAAGACCATGCCGGGATCGACGTCCATGCCGGCGTCGGCGATGAGCCCGGCCGTTCGCTCGAGGGCGGCGACGGCTTCGAGGTAGTCCTCGCGCGCGTCGGCGGGGACATGCTCGGCCAGTACGGCGCGGAGCCGTGACAGGGCTGCGAACGTGTCTCCGGGGATGCAGGCCTGGTCGAGGGCGGTATAGGAGCTGGCCGGTCGGTTGATTAGCGGTTATTCTAGAAGCATGGAAAGGCCGGGCTGTGGAGGCTGTGTGCGTGTGTGTGGTGCGCGTAGACTTGCCTTCTGCTGCCGGCCATCTCGTTGCTGAAGTTGGCCTGCGTGCCGTGGAAGAGAGGGGCGAACCGCGTCGTCACGAGGTTGTCGAGGTATGGCTCGAGGAAAGATTGCATGCCGCGAGTGACGGCAAATAACTCGAGCATCGAGAGCAGAGGTTCCGGCAGGACATGGTTCTCGCACCTGACTGGCAGCAGCGAGACGTAGATGACGGTGAGACCGGCAAAGCAAAAGACGGGTATCCAGTTTTTGATCGTGACGTTGGGCAGCTGCAACGTGTACCCCTTTAATCCCGACGACTGATAGTGAGCGGCCAGGGTGAGGTAGTCTTGCCGCATGCTGGGGACGAGAAGAGACTTGTGGAGAGCGCTGATGGCGAGCATGCCGTCCATGATGAAGGGATGGCGGTAGCCCTCTTCGGGGATGACGTGTCGCCAGATGTGGCGGACGTCGTCACGGATGGCCAAGGTGTTGGCCGTGTTCACAGAGTAGTGGTGCATGAGCTCGAGCTCGCGGCCGCCGAGGTTCATGTCATTCAAGGGCGGGACGATGCCGCCTCGCTGGCGGAAGTCGAGCTGAAGAAAATCCGTCCCGCCGCCCAGGGCGAGATGCACGTCACCGCTGCTGCCGCTGCTGGCGATGGATGCGGGCGTCGTGGCTGGCTGCTCTGTTCTGCCGGGATCGCCGGGATCGCCGCTTCCGTGTTGTTGAGCCTCCGAGGTCGACGGACGACGCTCCCTCCGGCTCCGGCGACTGGGTGCCGGAGGGGCAACCCGGGTGTCTTGTTTCGTCGCTGCGTAGGCACATGGTATGCCGTGACGGGCGCAATTGAAACATGTTGGGTGTTTCTCGTCACACTTGGGAGAGGCATGACGTGTAAGCTTGGTGCAGGTCGAGGCTCGATCATTCAATTGAGAACTTTTGACGTATCGGGTACGACTCACCTTGACTTTCCTCCGTTTACAGTCCTCGCATCCCTTGCGGGACTTTGTATGGCTTCTGCGCGGTGCCATGTGAAGGTGGGAGTAAACAAGATGTCGGGCAACCCAGAATGGTAGACTGGCCAACGGTCATTCGCATGTTGTGGTTGTGACAAGCAAGGTAGGACATGAGAAGCCGAACACGCGCGTCATGAAGTCGCCCTCAAAGACGAGACGGGCGGCCGGCATTTATTGCTCAGCATTTGACGCCTGGGCTTCTTGGGGGGGCGGGGCAGTGCTGTGCGCTAGAACGACGGTGACGGGCTCGGGCGCCCTTGTGTGCCGTGACGGGGACCGAGATCTGATCCATGTTTGGCCCCTGAGCCGCCCGGAACTCCCGGTGGGACATCAGATCTGTTCGGCTGAATCCGAATCCGAATACGCGGTTACGGCGGCATCGGCAGGCCTCACGACGACTTTGGTGTTCGCGCTCACCACGAATGGATATGACCATTTCGATTTCCAGGAATGTTCAGCATACCATGAAGAAGATGAAGCATAAAAATGTGACAACGAGAAACATGGCGCACGATTGAAGGGCCCGGGCCTAGAGGCACGAGCCGGCCCAGGGACGAACGCCTGCGCAGATACTACATGCTGCCGGCTCTCAAATACGCCTCCCTTCAGCCTTGTGTTGTTCTTCGTTCCCTTCGCAGCAGAACTAAAAAAAAAAAAAAAAAAAAAAAAAAAAAAAAAAAAGAACTTTCCCTTGCCATTCTTCCTTCATGGTTACTATCATGGTACAATTCCGACCTGTCCTTTCTAGTTGTGCCCCGCCAAACCAGCACAAAGTCAAAATGAGCGATGGCGACCCCAATCGCAAGAACGCACAGCCCGCCCACTATCGATATGATCCAAATGCTGGTGCCGCCGTCTTTTTCGGCATGCTCCTCAGCGTATCGACTGTCCTTTACATGTGGCAGACGATGCACCCCAAGACTTAGCACAGGGCTTCGTTCGTCGCTGGCGTCTTGTGTTAGTCTTCTCCCGACCTCTCCATGCTGTTTTTCTTTCGCGCTTCTTTTGGAGGCCATGCAGTCTGACTGGTTAAAGTTGGATGCGCAATCGAATGGTCAGGCGCTCCGCACAGTCGGACAAGTCAAATGAACATCAGCAATGAACAGGAACTGTCAGCGCCCTGGTCTTTGCACGGGCAAGCTAGAACAATGGCGCTCGTGCGCAGAGAGCTGACTCTGCCAAAACCTTCTCGACGCGAATGCAGCATGCTCCGTTAAAGGTCAAATAGTCATCAATTATAATAAGGCATTGTATCCGACTAGCCGCAAATAGAGTCAGAGAGAGGGAATAAACCATCAACAGGGAAGAGCTCCTTCTATCGCATAGAGCTGGGAAAGCCGCCCTACAGCCGTCCAAACTCCGTCATCCAATTTATCATCATGAACCCCGTCGCATAGTACTCGTGACAAGAGGGGGGAGACTGGTATCAGAGAGGGAGAAAAAAAAAGTTGAAAGCAAAAAAGAAGAAACCCATGGCGAAAGGTGAAATAGTAGCCCCAACTCCTGTGATGCACCCTCTGCACCAACATTTTTTTTTTTCAATTCACCGCCGGTACGCCGTATCCCAATGCTCCGACTTGACACCCACATGCCCGGAAAGGCCGAGTCCGAGTCCCGACGTGGCGTGCTGCGCGTCTTGTTGGGCGGCAGCCATGTGGTGATCGCACGTTGTGCCGATCGAATATTCATCAAGGTTGTAAGCGGCATCGAAAGCCGAGAAGGCCGGGCTCCCCGGCCACAGAGCGTGGTCCTGACCCGACTCGAGCGAATGCTCGTGCTCATGTCCGCAGTGCCGTGACGCCGGCATGTCGAAGGCGCCGAGGACACTGGCTGGTGGACTGAAATGCAAAGGATGCGCCGCCGACAGCATGTCATCGCTGCACGGCGTGAGGAGTCGCATTTGTGGGGCCGAGTGGCTCTCCGGGCCGGCCGGCGAAGCCATGGATGTGGGGGTAAAGTGGTTCTGATGGTACATGGGTTGGCTTGTGTGAGCCTTGATCTCTAGTGGCGAGCCCGACCGAGCATCATGGTAGGCCGTATGGTTTTGCAAGCCTGGCTCGGCCTTGACGAGGTCTTCTGGCTTGATCGTTTTCTGGTCCTTCTTCGACTTGGTCACCTTGTTCTTCTGGTTCGCTCGGTTCCTCTTTTGCGGCTCAAGACCCAACATGGATGACCTGAAGCGAGAATATCGCATGCGAGCAGCATGCCCATTGGTAATGGGTTGGGAGAGAACGGGATCGTGGGCCACAAGGTTCCAGTCGATCTGAATACGAGAGAGAGAGAGTCAGCTATGGCCGAGAATTTATACGCGCTGTCCGTCTGTTCAGCAACTTACATCTTTGAGGTTCTTCTGCTTCAGAATGGCGAAGAGAAACCTTGTCATCTGGTTGTCGGTGTTGGACATGATAGCTGCAACTGTTGTGAGAGTATTTGGTGCTGTCGGTGAAGGAGGATCGATGGAGGCGGTGAAGCGATTTCGTCAGAGCACGACAGCAGAAAGTGAGTCGATGTGAAGGTTGGTGAAGGGTGGTCGAGGTCATATATAGTATCGGCTGACAGCCGTGGCAGGTCCAGGCAACGGTGCAACCACTCCAGTCGCTCTGATGATGAAACTGAGAGGGGCGTGATCATGAGATGAGGCGGACCTGCTAGGAAAGACGAGGCGGACAAAGGCCCGGATGGACAAGGGTCATTCGGCGGAGTGCTGGGTGGTCCCAGATGTGAAAGCTGGTTTTGAGGGCTTCACCTAAAAGACCAAGATGCTCACAAAAGCAATCAGAGGTGCAGCAAGGCGCTCGTCAGATCAGTGCTTGGGGGCTGGAAAGGATGGAAGAGGAGAGGAGGAGGTGCAGAAGGCGCGGGACGAAAAGGAGTAGAGGCCTTTAATGGGAAGCGCTCGGCGGTGGATAGATCGAGAGCCGTACGTGGCAAACTGCCTAAAAGTTGCGACAAGTCATCAAAACAGCCCTTGTTGCCTGGAGCTACCCGCATCTTTCTGGCTTCATTCGTGGAAAGGGGGGGTGTGATGGATGCCTCTTTCGGTGACGTTTGGGAGGGGAGGGGGGTCCAAGTCAATTTGGTGTGCATGTGTGACGGCCAAGGCAGCGACATGGTGGGGTGAAGAGCCGAGGACGCGGACGTGTTGTCGCGTAAAGTGGTTTGCCCCGGCGATCCCTATCCCTGTTCGTCTTGGATGCTGTGCGAAGAAAAAGGAGAGTGAGCCCGAGCCAGACCCAAGCTTGTACAGGTACGCTCCGCCGACAGGGAGAAGTGGGCGTGTGCAAGGTCAGTGGCCCTCGTGGGAGCGAATGAGGCGTTCGAATCAGAGTTGAGGTGTCGTGACAATGCGATGCCTCGGGCTTAGCGCGCATCGGCCGACATGCACTCACTCTCCGCGGCAGCTGGGGTCTGCATCGGCGGGCAAGGAGTTCCGGACTGACTCGTCAATTGCGCTTCCTGGGGGCGAATAAAAGAGGGTCAAGGGAAGGATTGGAAAACGAGACAGACAGAGACAATCGGAGCGGAAGGGGAGGGGGCTTCACAGACCGACACTGGGCGGTGATGCGAGATCCAGGAACGGCGGCCGTCGACAAGGTTTGGACAGGGATGATCATGCGACGAAAGACACACGTGTGTATGGGGTTTTGGGAGGCGGATGCAGTCCAAAGGTCGCAGTGTGACTCACAGAAGAGGAGAGGAAAGTGATTGGGGAATGAGCGGAATTGAGATGCCCAAAAAAAAATGGACGAGGCTGGGGGGGGGGCATCGATCCGTGGGCCATTGGCAACAATCGACGAACGACGGCCGTTTGCGCGACACCTGGCCATTGACGCTAGCTGGCGGGCTGACATCAATTGTGGCCGAGTAAGAGTTTGTCGATTGATGTGCCATGGCCATTTGATGTGACACGGTCCTCGGGGACATCTCGAACGTTTGTGACGACCGACCGTGAAGCGACACTGGAACGGTGTTGCGCCGTCGAAAGCGTCGCTCGCAGGGATTTGGTCTCGACCAGATATTGCCAGGGAGGTCAGGAAAGGATGAATCATGCCTGGGCGCAGTTGCACCACCCGGCTGCACGCTGCAAGCTGATCCGCGCCTGAGCTGGTGGTGGAGGGGTCCAAATCATCGTCGCAAGCAGGTTTGGGGGGGGGGCCATGATGGCAAGATGCTATGAGCCTCGATGGACGGCCAAAAATCGCCAATTCAAGAGCTCAACTCGTGGACCAACCAAAGAGTACCCGTGCAGGCGGTTCATAGAGGTTTCGGGACGATGAACGGCCGCGTTGCGCACCCACAGCGATGACCTCAAGTTGGTGGGTTGAGATGATGTGGTCGGGAGACGCGTTTCTCGCGAACCGTTGGGGCGCCACTTTGCTGCTGGTGCTTCGCCAGGTTTCCACGAAATCACGTGAGCGGGGCCGTGGCTCCATAATTCGGATGTGGGGACCTTCTCAGCTGAGAGTGCGAGGTACATGGACGGTACGAGGTGTGGTGGGTATGTTTCGACATTTCGTCCTCCCTACGTACCTAGGTAGGTAAAGTCGTCCATCCTACGTGATCTAGGTGCCAAAGGCAGAGAATTGCGTGGCAGCATGTGCAAGGATGCTCATGAAGTTCTCATGAATTTCAGTCAGTAACAGGCAGAATGCGCCCCCCAAAAAGAGCTCCATCCGCGCTTCTCATGATGGGCTGGTGTCCTCCTTGACACTCCCTGACAGTCAGCACGAGGTACACCGCCAGGTGCAGGCCGGATCAACCCTGGGCCGGTTCCCTCTTTCGTCATCGCCCGTCCCAAAGCGTCGTCTTCTTGGGAATAGCGCAATCAACAATCAGCGCACGTGCCTTCACCCCCTCAGTTGGAACTGTCCTTAACATTCATGACCCATGTCTTTGGCTGCCATGCCCTTCTCCGCCCTGTTAACCACTATCAAACTTTCTCCCTGGGCCTTGACTCTCAGTCACTTCTGCTAGGACCACTAACAGCTTGAACCTTCCTTCCGACCAGACATTCCCAGCGTCGTATCAACCGCCGTGCTTCCCCACCACCCCTGTCCCAGCGGTCTTCGACGGCACCGTCAGGACCCCCGGGCCACAAGCCAAGAAGGAGACCAAGGTCAAAAGCGAGCTCGGCCGGTGACGGTTCATCATCCCAGCCCAGGGGCTGGCTGAATGGCCATTGGTCATGTTCAGCAAGAGTTGGACCGATCGCGCGGACCGTGATCTCTTCTTCACCATACTCAGTGTTAAATGCATTGGCATCATCACCGGACCGGAATGGACATCGATCGGGAACTCTATGAGATCCATGGGCTATGGCTTCACCAATGAAGGATGCCGGTGAGTGAGAGATGTGTTTTCTTGTTCTTGTCACTCCTCGGCTTCGCTGCCTCGTACTTCTATGCTGCCACACACGTCGCGCCTCTCTTATGCCATACCTTGTCATCTTGATCCACCCTGTCAGCATTCCGATCGTTCCGTCACCAACAGTCTCCTGACGACCCGCTGATACGTTCCCTTTAGTCAACACTTTCAAGGGCTGCGCCGTGCTCAGCATACGACACGGGGCATAGGTCTCTTCGGAAAGCCCGGGGCGCAGGAAGAACCGCCGCATGACCCTACCCGGAATCCCATCACTCGCCGCCCCGGTCCCGGCCGTGGCAGGCCGCGCAAACAGGGGAGCCCGCCCATGAGGACGGTGGAGACGAGCGCTGAACGGCAACGTCGAGATGAGAGGGAGATTGAACGTCTCAACGCTATAGATGCTGCTGCCGCCGCCAACGCCACCGCCAACATCCCAAGCATCACTGGCAATCCATTCTTAGATCGCATCTTTGCTATGCCGGGAAACAGAACCGTGATTTATGGAGGCGGCGGGCCTCCTGTCAGAGTCCATACGCGCGAGGACTATCTCGAACTCGAAAAGAGAAAAGAAAAATATAACGACAGGCTCCTTGCCACGCTACAGGCACGCCGAGCGGGAAATCCTAAGAACCCTCCGCCGAAGCCAGACACCCGCCACTCAGGTCCAGCGGCGTCCAGAGATACATCACCAGTGACAGAGACCAGTTTGGTGCCGAATGCCAACCCTGGCAAGCTGCCAGACGCTGTCAGTTCCACCTCCTCGAAAACAGCCTGGAGCGCTGGAGACAAGACTTTACCCCCTCTCGCGCCTGAGCCTGGCCCTGGCCCTGGCCCCGGCCCCGGCCCTAGTACTGCTCATACCCCTAATTTGAACAGTTTTGAATGGTACCCTCCCGCTCGGTCAGCTCATTCTCGCTCACGACCTTCGAATCCCTTTGCCTCTGCCTTACGAAAAGAGAATCCGGTTAGAGCTGGCCAGCTTGCGACTACCGACGCGTCCATGTCTTCCTCCGCGCGAGCGGGTCCATCGGCAGCAACAATAGGTCGCTCGCCTGAAGACATTGCTGGACCCATCGGGGAACCTCCAGAGAACAATTTTGCCGAGGCGAGCAGCTTTCACGACTCGAGCGATTATTCAATCATCGATCCCCCCAATGGCCACGACATCGACACGGTCTTGGTTCCACACCCTGTGGCTCTGTCCCCGCGCCCTCTTGGCCCATCGGAACAACACAAGAAGGCGCAGCCTCAGAGGGACAACGCGAGCCCGGGAAAGGACGCACCTGGGGGGGATGTCATTGATGCCGTGGGTAGCGGACCTGGTCACCGAGAGGCAGAATCTCAGCCGGATGAGCCTTCTCCCAAACGCATCCGGGTCGCAGAGCCTGCAGACACTCAAGGAATTACCAGGGCCGAAGTCGCCCTGGCTCTGGCTGCCGCACGCACAGCCCAACGCAAGATGGCCGAAGAGGCGTTGCCCTCTCAGCAGATCCTCGATGACGAAGCCGTGTTAGCTTTGACGACGGTCCACGACGACTTCACATCAGGGTTCCCTCGCGGTGACGCTGACCATCAAGTTAGCCTGGACGGCGATGATGGGCTCGAGTTTGCGTATGATGGATCCTAACATCATGAGGATATGTGACGGATCTTCATGACACATGAACGCGAAGGATTTCATTACCTTTTTCGTCACGAGTCAGGCTGATTATGATTAATGATTTTACACGGCCGACACGAAACGTCATGGGAAGGGCATCTTGGAGTTTGAAGTTGCTGTCTATGCAGTGTGAACTAGCATTAACTTTGATGGAAATCTTCCGGTTGAGGGAACTCGGATGATAACTACATGCCAAAACTCATGACATTACTCCCCGTGCGGCTATCATGTAGTAGTTCTCCTCACCCTGCGACCAGTTTCTTTTCTCTTTGTTTGTTGAACACAATCGACTGACTATGTGAGCATACCAGTTACATCTGCTTCCAAACCTCAGTTTTTACTGGCTCATGAGGTTTTTTTCTTGCGAGAAAGGCATTCACGGCTACATTCAATTTAATGGAGGAAAGCATGACCCGCTTCGTCAGGCCGCTTTCACCGATCGTGTCTCCTGGTCTTTCAATCCCTCAGCGGCCTGGCCCCGCGTAGCAACTGTCTCCAATCAGTCCTATCAAGTCCTGTTGCACTCTCTCTCTTCCATAAAAGCTTCCAAACCTCGACTATCCTCAACACATAGACCACGACAGCCCTCCCCACTTTTCACGCGGTACTCTCCCATATAACAGCCCACGCCACCGAGCACACACACGCATACAATACTGTCAAGATGGTCAACTGGGAAGATGCCGATCTCCGGGACGCCCTGCTCGTAGGCTTCTGGAACACCTTCAAGGAGCACTTCTCTCAGGAGACCAAGGATCAGATCATGGCTGCCGCTCAGAAACATGACTCAACCATCAACTGGAACAATTTCCGGTAAGTGCTGCAAGTTTCGCTTGTCACATTTCGAGCCCTCAAGCCTAGATGGTGTCACTTCCCAGAGGCTTCTCGTACTTGGAGACAACCACGTCTGAGGCCCATGGAAGTCTAGCCTCGATTGAGTGCCTTCTGTACATATTGGACAGATGGTCACGATTCGTCGTTGCCTGTTCAGCGGGCTGCGGCCTACTTTGTTATCGTCTTCCCTCCAATAAGCACGAGACCATTCACTGTTGCACGTTGACTCTTTTCCTGCACCATTCTTCCCCTCCTACCAGTAACAAATCATTACTGCGTCTCGGTCTAGCTGGTTTTTCAGTCGATCATCAAGAATCCCCAAGCCAAACAAACCAACCTTGCATCCACAGCTGCCACACGCAGACCAGCACCAATATGGTCAACTGGGACAACGCCGAGCTGGCCTTGCGCATCGTGACTTACCTCTGGAATACCTCCAAGGACAAGTTCACTCCCGAATTCAAAGAAAATATGATCTTTGAGCTCAAGAAGATTGATGCTACCATCACCTGGGAGGCCCTCCGGTAGGTTATGATTTTGTCTTGTTCGTGGCTTTTGTGTCTAGCGTTACGCGATGGTTGCCGAACTCCGGTGCTCTTCGATGGGCATTTTCTTTGCATGTGTTTCTTGAGTCTCAGTTGTCATCGAGTGCCATCAAAGTATTGCCTACCCGCTTCCTCGGGATCGAGAGCAGTGACAAAGAGCTGGGACAATTTTGGCCAGCGTCAGTCCCACTCTGCTACTTGTTAAGTCGGCAAGAGCAGAGGCAGAGGCAGGGCAGAGGTCAGTCAAAGGCAGTTCCAAGGCAGAGGCAGCCGTATATCTCGTCTCAATATATTCTGTCATCCCCACCAATAGTCCATGGATAAGTCCGTCCCTACTCATCAACGGTCAACGCCTCCACCACCAGCGAGATCTCTCACCTTCTTCGCACACCATCAGATACTACTCTGAGTTGCATCTCTTGACGATTGCAACGTCAACAAACAGAGCTGACACCCATTCTTGGCTGTTCTCATTACATCCTGAACATGTCTACTCGCATGGCATGGACCCCACAGGTCCATGAGGACATTCTCGTGGCATTTGTGACAGCCTCCAAGCTGTCCACATCGCAACTCTCGGATGTCATGAAGGTGTTAGCTGCTCAAGGTTACACCTTCACCGAGTCTGCTCTCAAGTGCGTATCTCCGTCTGGCAGAAGCCAGTTTTTTGAGTGTTTGCTACTTCCTGTACATCTTCGATTCTCTTCCTATTTTCGCACCTGCCCTATATGCGTTTCGATGTGTGCCTGGGAAAGTTCCCATGCCTTCGGTTCTCGGGCCTTCTGGTCTTGATACCCTTTTTCTTTCTTTTCTATTCCTCGCTTTGAATCATTACCGTCTTGCCCTCTTCGACCCAGTCACAATCTTCCTCATCTTCCTCCGATCTTCTACTTCAACACCTCTGCTATTCAACGATCTTCTATCTCTTCCCTCAGTCGCATCTGTTACCCGCACGCTTTCACACAACGCCCTCTACACTGCTCATCACCCAATATTAATTTCTCTCATCATGCCTGCAGTCAACGGACCTGCCACAGCCTGGGATGACAAGGCTCACGCAGACCTTCTCATTGAAGTTCTCAAAGTGGTCAAGCCGACCCCAGCGCAATGGAGCGAGATCGTCATCGGCACCCAGGCCAAGGGCTACAGCTATAGTTCTTCAGCTGCTCAGTAAACCTCTTCACTTCCTCGGCGTTTTCCCTTTCCGTCTGCCTGTTTTCTGCCATTGCCAAAAAGAAAGACTACCCATGAGTTGCATGCTTGCTGACCACCCCCTTCGCATCACAGGCAACACATCGCCAAGCTTCAGAAGAAGGAAGGCAACGGCGCCGGCACTCCCGCCAAATCCACGCCTGCCAAGTCGACTCCGGGCAAGAAAACCCCCGCCTCGGGCAAGCGCAAGGTCTCCGCCAAGAAGGCCGCTCCCGTCTCTATCGATGAGGTGAAGGACGATGATGAGGAAATGGAAACCCCCTCTAAGAAGGTGAAGACCAAGGAGGAGGTCGATGACGTCGATATCAAACATCCCAGGTGAGTTGCCGTGTCTTTATCTTCAAGTTCTACAGCTTGTCGGGTTGCTGACCCGTCCCTCCAACAGCGCCTTTGATATGGAGGCCGGAGATATTGATAACGACTATGAAGTCTAATTCCCGGCGATCCCTGGCGTGCTTCCCTGCCACCCGATGGGAGGAGACGAATGCAATACAGGCGAAGAATAAGCCCGAGGAGCAGTATAGGGACTAATGGGATATGCTTACTGAATAGTTCGACATTCGTCAAGAGGTCGAGAGCAACTGATGCGTGTGGCTTTTTGCCCTTCACCCATGGATTACTGCTCCCTGGCATACTTTGGCGAAGAGAATTTATTCTGATACGGGAAGGAAACAGACAGAACGAACAGAAATAACCGAATCAGGTCACCTTCATCTGTTAACGATGCCGGTGTTGTGATGTTCTGGATGCATGGCGGGGCTTGCTAGCATCTGTTGCTCGGTGGCACATACATTCCCGGTACCCGGCACATTTCTTCCCATCCGATGCGGTGTACATGACCAGAGACTCTCCTAATCGTGGTGATTTTCACATCTTTCAAGTACCCTACGCGGCGAAGCTCGTCAGGATGTCATGGGAATGTAGGCTCAACACTCGACATTTGGTCAATGGCGGATTTGAATACGCGATTCATCGTTCACGTTATATGGGAAAGTCCCTCTAGCTAAGGAGTTGCCGAGGCTAACCAACGACTATTTTGTTGAGCAAATCCGAAAACACCTAAGGTTGACTGAATAACAGCACCGTCCTCGTTTTTCTTGTCCGTGTCCATCCTCCAGGAGTGAACCGCAAAGATCTCGTAGCCCAAGCCATGCAATCCGCCTCCAGAAAACCTTGGCTCTGCCACTGGCATGTCAGCTGATTCTCAAATTGATCGGGGAAGCTCTTCAGACGTACCGCTTTCAAATCATGAAGTCTTCTTCGACAATCTCGTTCTTTCTTTCGTCTTCGGCATCGTGTTTGTCAATTGTGACCTCCTTCTTCATGGGAGTCTCGATGCCCGCGGCCTCGACCTTGGGTTTCTTCGAAGGCGTGTCGGGGTTGTCGCCATCAGCCTCAACAGTCGCCTTGGCCCGGCCGCGCTTCTTAGCAGGGGTGGCGGAGGTCGGGGGGGACTCATCCGTGGTGCTGTCAGGGCCGACTCGCGCACGCCAGTCCTTGAGGATCTTCTTGGTCCAGCGCTGTCTAGGTGGAAATGCTTGTTAGATGATAAGTTTCATAAAAAGAAGAACTCGGGCCAGTAGTCTTGATCGACTTTGCTGGGCGATATGGTTGAACGGCACTTACTCCATGGCAGACTTGGTGAAGGTGTAGCCAAGCCGGTCCATAATGTCTTTGACCTTGGGCCAGTTGACGCCTCGGAATTCGGCGCTGTGGGAGGCAACCGCCATGGTGAGGTCGCGCTCGGCGATGCCGCCATTGGCGGCCCAGGTGGAATCCTTGGGAGGCATTGTGCGGGATGGCTTTGGGTGGTAGGCACTTGGCGATTTGTCTCTCTGCGTAGGAAGTCGTCGTTAAAAGATGATAGTCAGTTGGTAATGTGATGCGACGAAACGTCGTCTAGATTTGGCAGGGGGCGAGTCGTCTAAAACAGTAGAATGAATCCGTCTGAAGTTGGTAGAAAGTAGATCGTCCGGTATGCGCATCAAAGAAAACGTTCACAGGCGAGTTAGCTTCAGATAAGGCAGGTGCTGACCTGGAACCTAATTCAGGCTGCGAGTTGATGGAGCTGTTGGGTGTTATCTGTGAGCTTCTAGTATCAGAACTTCTTTGGACGCGTTAGTGAATGTTGGGCCCCAGAGGATCAGAGTCGTGAAAGAGTTTCTAGGTCGTGAGGAGGACAGCCACGGTAGAATTCATGCCAAACTCTCACGGACGTTACATTGAATCACAATTCACCAAGGAGAGAGTACAGCCATGCTGCGCAAATGCACCCCTACAACGAGCGAGTCTATCACTTGACCGTCAGGCCTGCTCTGGTGCCTCGGGCCTCACCCTCATGTACGGGACAGAGTATGTAGCCAAACCAATCTCAGAAAGCCAGGAGCAAAACACGGAATAGAGGTGCGCATATCAAGATCAACTCGAATTTCTACGTGGCGAGCTAGCCCAGTCGCCTCTCCCAATGCATGGCCTCCAACGCCAGAAATGACCATCGAATGATCATGTCACCCTTAAACGCCACATCCATCGTTGACCACCCTCAGCGAGCAACAACAAGACTTACTTGCCATCACGACCGTCCAACCTGCGTCCTTCGCTGGGTCCCTTCTTCTCAACGTTGGGCTTTTCGTCCGCGTCGCCCTTACGCTTCACGGCGCCTCCACGCAACGTCTGTCCCTGGCCTGCGAAGTGGGGTCGGTTGGCATTTTCCTTCTCGCGCTCCTTATCAGCGTCTGTCTTGACCGGTTTGATCTCATAGCCAAAGAAGAGCTTGTTAGGCGGGAGACGGAGAGGCGCTGGTCCAGCCGTTCGACGAGGCAAGGGACCAGTAGGGACCGGGTTAGCTGATACACCGCCAATGGGGGTGGCCGACTGGGGTGTGGACGTCTTGCTGGTCTTGCCAGGCTTCAGTCGCTGGCCTTCGCCATAAAAGTTGGAAATGTTGGCTGTGACAGACGGTGCGATGGCACCGTAGTTGATGGCCTGAGCCATGGTGCCCTGGCTGTGCAGGAGGCCGCCGGCGGGTAGACCGCCACGTACACTGCGAGGGGTGCTGGTGCCGCTACCGCGGGGCTGGCGCTCGGGCTCGACGTAGCCGACGGGCGGCGCAAAGTCAACCTCGACATCCGTCTCGATCATGCTGACACCCATCTTATCCGTCTCGGGCTTGACCTCGAGAACAGCAACATCGTAGACTTCGTCATTGTACGAAAAGTTGAACACGTCACCCTTGGTGAGAGTGGCGAAATTCCTAAACGCCTTCTCCAGCACGGCCTTGGGATCGCTGATATCGAGAAAGTTGACCGACTGAGGCTGGAGCTTAACATGCCTCGCAAGCTCCAGAGAGGTCGTCTTGATTTGTATGAGATCGCCAACATCGAGGCCCAGTGTTTGCATCATCTGCAGCTGTTAGCATGACAACTTGGCGGCTACCAGTGATTTGGGATGTCAGCATACCCATTGGGGCAGGTATGCCTTGCCCTCCTCGGCCACAAACTCCAGCACACCGGCGTGCGAGTGCTTGCCCTTTTCCCCGTTTATAATCTCCATGATCAGGGGCCACTGTACGTGGAGTTTGGAAACCTTGTCGAGAGCAGATGGCGGGAGAAAGATCTTGGATCCATAGTTAAGATCAGGTCGCTCGGGCCCGGGGGCGAAGACCATAGGATAGCATCTGTAGTATTCGTCGAAGCGCTGGATAATCGGCCGACGGCCACCACGGGAGAACTGGTACATGTTGACCTAGCTGTGGTCGAAGGTCGAGGCGGAGTTGTCGAGGACGATTAGGACTGGTGCGGAGGGGCGTGACTCGAGCTACACCAACAGAAAGAATGTGCACTGCTGGCTGCTGGCGAAAATGAGCGAAGGATCTGAAGATGACAGTCTGTTGATGATCAGGATTGAGTATCAGAGGTGGCGGCTTGTTGTATGAAGGAGGTGGGTTGCCGTTTGTCTGTTGAAGCAGAAGGTTGGCGGCTTTAGTGGGATGTGGAAGCTGCTCGAGGCAGCTGATGAATGACGACCGACTGAAGTGCGCTGGAGTTCCGCATGCTCCGCATGGACACTGGGAAGATTAGCGCCCCGATTCGAAGCTGACCCTCTCTACTCGAAAACATGTTCCTCACATCACCACCAGAACGCCGTGCAACGAGCTCAAATTGATTGATTGTATATCAAGAATTGAGAGGTAAGCTTTTCAGTTTCAGTTCCCACCGAACACATCTTTGCGAGCTCCCAGAATACGGCTTTTTGGTAAGAATGTGTACAGTATAGCTCGCATAACTACATACATCAACACGGACCGCTGTGACTTAAGGTACCTAGCTACTTCAACTCCGTCATCAAGAGCTCTCTACTAACAGACCCCACTCACCATCAAAAGCTCTCCCGAGCTCCTCCAAGCTCACGACCTGCCGCACACCTCCAGACGCCACGTACCACCCTCAACAGCGTGCCAATCGCCTCACGCACTTACGACCACATCCCATCATTGCCCCTCCCCATGGCATCCCGCCACACAGCCGCGCGCCCCAAGCGCGCAGGCGAAGACTTCGCCCGCACCCATCACCACGACACAGCAGACCCCGACTCGAAAAAAGTCAAGTTCGACGTCCGCAACCCCTCCGCCCTCGCCGCCGACGCGCGTGAGGAGGACGCCGTCCTCGAAGCCGACGTCATTGGCGGTGGCGCGGCCACCAAGCGCGGCGCCGTCAACCTCGACGGCTACGACAGCGACTCGGACGGCGAGACGTTCAATACGCGCGCCGACAAGCGGGCGCTTGGCAAGGGCGAGGCCAACATTCTCGAGCAGCTGGACAATTACGACTCGAAGAGCGCCGGCGGCGGATCCAAGGGGGCCAACGCCAATGCGGCAGACGACGATGACGACGATGACGACATGTTTGCCGAGCCGGAGGACGCGCCAAAGGAGGCTGCTGGGGCGCCCGAGTCGACGGTCGAGGCGAAGAAGAAGGCAAAGGCTGTGCATTTCTTGCAGGATACCGATATAGAGGGGCAAGACATGAAGAGCAAGAGCGGCGGACAGATTCGCCTGGATGACCAGGACTCAGACGACGACGAGGAAACGCGCGACATGGCCATGCAGGAGGAGGGTATCGACGAAGAGGTCGGCCTCGGTGGCCTGAAGCGGAACGCGCCAAAAGTCGAGGCCTTCAACATGAAGGACGAGCAAGAAGAAGGGCGTTTCGACGCGGACGGAAACTTCATTCGCAAAGCGGTGGATCCAGATGCGCAACACGACAAATGGCTCGACGGCGTCAGCAAGAAGGAGATGAAGAAGGCGGCCGAGGCCCACGAGAGGCGCGAGGCCGAGGCGAGGCGGTTGCGAATGGAGAACGACAGCTTGTTGACGACAGATATTCTGAAGAGTCTGATTCTGAAGCTGGATAAGGGCGAGACTGCACTGGAAGCACTCGCGAGGCTGGGCAAAGGACAAGCGAAACAGAAGAAAATCCCGAAATGGAAACTCAAAAAGCAGAAAGGAGGCGCGGCGGGCATGGATGTCGACCAGGAGGAGAAGGCCGAGGACCCTGAGCAGAAGAGGATACGAGAGGCTATTGCAGCCATCACTGACGCGGCTGATAAATTGTTGAGCCGAGATCGTGCTGAGATCTACGACGAGGAACGAGAGGTCCTCCTCCGAGAGTGGCAGCGCGAAACCGGCGAGGATTGGGTGGAGCCGACGCAAGAGGCAGAATCGCAAGAGGGCAAGATGTGGGAATTCCGGTGGGTGGATGGCCGCGATGACGCGGACAAGCAAGGCCCATTCGACAGCCAGACCATGAAAGCATGGCAAGATGCTGGGTACTTCGGAGAAGGCGTCGAGTTCAGGCCGGCAGGCGATGAGAATGAATGGAGCAGGGTCGCAGGCTTTGCGTAGCAAGATTAAAAAACAAAAAGATACCACTTTCAAGCACGTATGGCTGCTACTAAAGACAGTGGCATTCAGTCCAAACCAAGCATCACAGCGATGCCATTCTCTTGTTGTATGGTACAGTATTCTACCGCCTTCCCGGCGAAACGCATCCGATTTTACGTCCACCCCCTTAACGCCAAACTGCAAGGATCAAATACTCAGCTCACGTCCATCGCCTCACCGTGGCCATTGGTGACGGTAAAGTCGACACCGCCATCATTGCCTATCAGGCGCTTCTCCGAGTCGGTCACAAACTTGACGCTGCGGTCGGGGTCGTAGAACAGGGAGAAACTCCGCTGGACGTCGGCGACGTCCACCGCCTTGGACTTCCGCTTCGCGCTGATGAGCTGCGACGTCGTAATGAGGTTGCTGGCGTAGCGCAGGCCGGCCTCCTGGCCGATCTTGGTCAACAGAGCCAGAGCGTCAGCAGACACCTCGACCTCTTCCTCCGCCGCCCGAATGGTCAGGATCTGTTTGATCTCCTCGGGGTTATACTTGTGAGTGTGGATGATGACGACACGATCAAGAAAATCGAGGGGAAGGCCGTGAGGGCTCTTATAATCGGTTCCTCGAATGCGCGAGTTGCCCCTGTTGCTGGCCATCATGACGATGGGGGCCAAGTCGTCCTCGAGGGCGCGGTTGATGTAGGAAAAGCACTCGATATCAAGCATGTGCACCTCATCGATGAAGAGCACACCGGGAACAATCTCGGCCTTGCCCTCCTCCTTCCACTCGCCGACCTTTGTGTTGATCTGGTCGCGGATTTCGCTACGGATCTCGCCCGTGTCGCCGGAGAAGAGAGCCAGGAAGCCTTGCGTCCGCGAGTTGATGACATCAATCTCGTGCAGGGTGACAGTGTGGACGACCTCCTTGCGCTTCTGGAGCTCGCCGTCGGGGCACTGTAGGAACTTGGTGTCCACGCCCATGGCGTCATAGTCGCGCGAACGAGCGTAGGACCGGCCCAGCTTGGTGATCTTACCAGAGGACTTGTCGATGGAAATGATGTCGCCGGCCATGACGCGCTCTTTGGTCATGGCGTCGATCATCTTGGTACCCATGTCATAAACAGCTTCCATGTCGGTCGTCTTGATGGTGAGCTTGCCCTGCTTGGCGCCGCCCGTCACGCTGCGGTCAATCTGGATCTCAACAACCTCGCCCTCCATGATCTCGCTCTCCTCTTTGATGCGGACGCCAATCGACTTGCGGAAGGCCTGGGTCAGGGCCTCGGTCTTGGACATTTCGAGGGAGAAGATTTCGGAGGCAGCGAGACTGGTGAAGGGGACGTCGGGGCCGAGGGACTGGGCCATACCCATGGCGATGGCAGTCTTGCCAGTGCTACAGACAGACTGCGTCAGCAAGCGTCACAGGATGAAGCACGACGCAGAGGGGGGTTGAAAGGTGTACCTGGGGGGGCCGGCAATCAGCACGGCGCGTCCGGCAATCTTGCCTTCCTTGATCATCTGAAGAATGACGGCGGCGGCCTTTCGCGCCTTTTCTTGTCCGACAAGACCCTGCGAGGAGGTTCGCGGTTCGAGTGATGTGCCATCAACACCAAGGCCTCGGATGTGGGAGTGCGCGGCGATGAGGTTGAGCCCTCGAAGCTCCTTTGATTCCGAGACGGTCATCACAGGCTACACATTGATGAGCGAGAAGGTCACACAGTGGCGACAGCTTGATTGGAAGTATGACGTACCGCGGCCATCTTTAATGCGATATTGTGGAATCGCTGTGGTGAAAGTGATGCAGAGTCTCCGTGGTGATGAATGCGACAGGTTACGCAGGCTGGATCGACTTTGGGGGTGCTAGGATGCAGAGAGCTTGACGTTGCGCGGCAGAAAATGTCCAGGGCGCGCTTGCGGCGTCTGTAGCCTGCACCGGGGTGGATACGCATGTCTAGGCCCACACCTGTTTTTCTATTTCACCCAGGCACATCATCAAGGCTCACAGCCGCGACGCCCACGACGCGTCGCATTGGTGAAGTCCATTTAATAATGCCTTGCCGTATCTTCCAGGGTCCCACACTCAAAGACCCCCCCCCCCCTCTCCTCCCCTTGGCCGGCTCCCCGCTTTCTGTCTCTTTTTGTCGGCCTTCCAATTCGCATCACACATTTGCACAGCACGGGGCGGCATGAGCACGCACCAACTCTAAGTATATTGCTGGGCAGACGACTCTTGTAGCCAGTCTGACCAAAACCCACCCACCGTTGCACGTTATCTTCCAGGATCACATGAAAACTGCCTCCACACCCATGAAATATTGCAACGCTCGCCTTGATAGCTCACCTCCTGACGTCGTCTGCCTGCTTTCTTTCTCGTATGATTAGGAAGGAAGGCGTTCGTTCCAGCTCCCTAACAAATTCTCACAAGCCTGGGACCAACCGCGCACCAGGTCATCGAGGACCACGCCTGCCACCTGAAATTGGCGGTCCTCTTGGCAAAAAGAGCTGACCAGGCCAGCCTCTGTGAACCCACATCCCATCCCATCACTTACACCTGGGGCTTGACCAGGGTCAACCCGCGCCGGCCCAACCGGGGGTCTTGTTGGCGCTAGAAAGCGGTTCAAAATCAGCCTGGTGGTCCTCGCGACCACCAGGTGCTTCGGTTGTGACGCATCTCAGCCCTTTGATTCCCACCCTTCCCTTCCCTTCACTCGGTGGGACGGCGTCAGGCAGATACTTTCCTGCAAGACTTGCACTCGACGGCACTCAATTTTGTGGCATCAAGCGTTTCTCGTTCCTCTCTGCTTTCCGGTCTTTCGTCGCAATCTCGATACCCCTCGCACCCTTCTGTTTGTCCTCCACCTTTAAGATACCCTGACGACGTACCGTTCTTGCCTTCTCCGCCGGCATTCATAGCATAATATCAGCACCTGCCTCCTTGTTTCCGTTTGATTCGCCAATACTTCGAGTTCTTTCGCAGTGGTTGAACCTCGCACGACGACAGCAACACACGACAGAGACAGCCGCGTTGACAACACAAGCGCTGACCCTCACTTACCTATGACATACCTGCATCATGTCGAGAAGGGACGACGCGGGCCGTATGAGCGCGTACAACTATGCCGACCGGCGCGACGGCGAGAGAAGCGGGTACGGTCAACAACAAAACGTGAGGGTCAGAAGCCCGCTGAGGGACAGCACCTTGCGGGATCGCAACCGCGACTGGGAACGGAACCTTGATCGCGAGCGCTCTCCTGGCGCGAGTGGCCGACGCAACTCGGCAGATTTTCGCAAAGACCACCGAGACGGCGCACAGGGTCGAGACAGGTTTCAGCAGAACGGCGGCTTCTCCCCACCACGTGGTCCAGCAAGCCATCGCCCGCAAGAGCCACCTCGGGGTACGTCTTGTTTGAGTTTGCCGGCGAGCCCTCGTGGACTTCAGGAGCTAACGATGGCATGCCGTGCCACAGGGCCGGGCTTGAACAGATCCGCGACAGCGCCCAATGCGTCTGCATTCAAAGCAGGTCCCCTATCCACGGCAGCGCAACAATGCGACGCCGACGTCCTCCTCCGCCTTTTTCGCAACGTTGTGACTCCTGTCACAGATCGCACATTGCTCAAAAAACATAGACAGGAGGTCGAGAAGGCATGCGTTCGACAGAGGCTGGAACTTGAGAAGGGCGCTTCCAAGCACCACGATTTCCCTTCGGTGCGCGACGTGCATGCCCATGCTACCAAGAAACTGGACCTGAAAATGGAGGTGTTGAATAAAGAACTCGAGCACAACAATACGACCCTCAACAATGAGACAAGAATCTGGCTCGAGAAACTGCTCGAGTTGGCGGCCCATGCTCCACCAACCCATGCCCAGCCACAGCAACAGGGTGGCGTCGACTCTCGGCTTGATGCTCTCGAAAAGCGAATGGTGGACCGGGAGACGGCGTGGGAAGAAAAACAGGCGGCCCGAACAAAACAGCATGATGATGCGCTCGCGAAACATGCAGAGCGGATCTCGGTGCTTGAGGCCAACATGGTTGATGCCAAGTCTCATATCCAGAGCTTGCAGAATGAAAATGCAGCCCTGAAATCAGGACTCGAGGTTGCGGGAGACTCGTCTTTGAGGCCTACACCCGAGGTCCCAGCGTTGGCTGCCTCGCAGACGTTGCAGGCCTTGGTTGACACAATGCGAGACGAGATGCGAGCTCTCACGGCCAAGGTTGATGAGGCCACAGCACCTCTTGCTGACACTGACATGGAATTTATCAACGACTCTTGTACTGACATCAATGTCAAGCTGCCCGTTCTGGAATCCGAAGTCAATCGGCTGAAAGAGATGGAATCCAAGCTCGTCACCATCGCACAGCATGACCAAAGTTGCAGCACGGTGCAGGACAAGCTGAATAACATGGCGGTACTGTTTGGCAACCTGATCAAGAAGGACAGGGCAGAGACAGACGCGCGCTTCGCATCGCTGGAAACGAGCGGCCGACAGCTCTCCTTGCGTGCGCCTGGACCTGCAGCATCAGCAACCTCCCAACATGGTGCGGCGGCGCCCGATACGCTCAACACGATCGAGGAACGCGAGCGAGCACTCGAGGAAGCGAGACAGGGCGAGCCTGCGACAGGTGCAGCTAGTGCCCCCTCGGGCGTCGGAAGCTCGATTGACATGCAGGCTACGACAAACAGACTCCAGGCGCTCGAGGCCAGGGTCGAATCCCACGAGAGTACGTTTTTGACCAAGGACAAGTTCATCGAACATGCGCAATGGGCGGCAGATAATGTCGGCCGCCTGGTGGGCCGCACGAACGATCTCGAAGCTCGCTGCACTGCCAACGACAACTGGCAGCAACAGATCAAGGGGAGCATAACACAGGTGGAGGGTACAATCAAGAGCTGCGAAAAGTGGATGAACGGGCAGGTCGAGGGCCTCCTGCTCTCGCTCAGCGTGCTGGACAGCCAATACAACAATCTGACAACGGAAGGCCTTGCGCAGATGATTGGTGGCCACATACAGAACCAGGACCACGAGACGGTGACACGGTTACAGGAGCGCAATAACGAGGTCGGTCAGCTCTTGTCGGCCATGGATCGACGGATAAAGGGGCTAGAGACGGTCGGACTGGGTCAAAACCCTGAGGGCAGCAGGGTGTAACTTTTTGCATGTTCTGCCACAGAGAAGCGGTTTGGACCTCCAGATGACCCAAGGGCTCGAGTCCGTTGGCACCAACTAGCTGGGGAGTTTTCCTCCTCTGATTGAAACCCAATAACGATTTATGACGAGGGACCCGTTCTGCATCTAACATGACGAACGCTGACTGACGAGATGCAACTACACTTGCTTGTGAGAGGAGACTGCTACGGATGTGTGTCATTGATGCTTGATGCTACCCCACAAAATGCGTCAAGCCTGCCTACACGCCTCCGTACCCAGATGGCGTACATAAAGTAAGGTATCTACCTGAGGGTACCTTGTCAGATTGCCTTCAGGCGACTAAGCCCGGAGTAGGTACCTTAACTTTGGTGGCTGCATAGAGAGGTTGCCACATCTAGGGCACCTGTCAGGAGCATTTCAGTGTTTGGCGCCTCCATCGGGTGACGAATACGCCCTGTAGGCGTCGATGGCGGGGGTTTTGGCAGACGCCAGAGCGGGCTATTAGACAGGGACCAGGAAGGCAAATGTAGGTAGGTACCTCCCTACCTCCCTAGGTACCTACCTAAGGAGGTAGACACCTGCCCCAGCCTCCCCCCTACCCCCAGCCCTGGCCCGACCAGGCTCTCTCCAATTCAAGTCTCTTCCTCCTATCACCAGCACCAACCATCACTACGGTCCGCGTTCCCGTCTTGTCATCCCGTGTGTGTGACGAGTGGCCGTATTGAGAAGAGGTGGAACCCATCGAACAAAGCGCCTTTGTCTCTTGACGGCACCGTCATGGTCCTGGATTGATAGGTCATTGGCGAGCAACAGCGCGCTTGTCTACTCTCCTCAGCTAACGAGGCTCACCGACAGACGCCCAAGCCCAACGGCCTTACAGCGTATTGGTACGGTACCTACCTACCTACCAGGTACACCTGGCAGCATCACATCGCACCGCCTCTACCATTCGGTTCCCTGCGACGGTGCGGCAGAGGTTCAAGCTGTGGGTCGGCTTCTTCACTGCTGCAAGGGCTCTTTGGCTTCCACATCGGGGGGTTCAAGCGGGTCAGCTTCTCTCTTCCCACCCCCCCTTGCCTTCCCTACCCGACCTACCTGGGTAAGACAACACGACCTGGGAGAGAGCATCACGAACCCCAACGACGGGCTTTTCGAGCAAGCCTGATTTGTGCCTCAGAGCCATCGGCTGCATCCCAACATCCCTCCCGGCACACCGACACGAGTTGACGAAGCAATTGCTATTGACGGATCGCGCGACACCCTCCCCCCGCCGACCACGTCACCTCTTGCACGCGCGCATATCGCATTATAGCCTTTTGCGATCTCTATCGGGGACGAACTGGGTCGCGTGCTTGTCATATCACACCGTTTCGTGCCGCACCGCACCTCAGTCATCCGCATCTTGCTCCACTGCATCTCCTTCTCCTCCCCCCCATCGACACCTCCGACACGATTGCCGGCATCTCAATCGACAGCCTGCACAGCACCGATTGACCTGCCATCGACACTGCAGACGACATTGATTGCGCAAGCGCACGCGTCAATCCCTCGAACGAATTCGACCACAGTCTTGCCTCCATTGCGGGAACCTTATCTTGGCACTTGCTTGCCGCGACTAGCCTGTAAGGGTCAGCCGCGAGAGTTCGCGACACGGCCTCTGTTGTGGGCCACGGAGAGAGCTCTGTGCTCTGCTCCAACGCCCATTCTTTTCCTTGTTCCTGGGACGGCGGGCGTCCGGCAGAAAAAAATACACATCCCGCCTTTGTTCCTCTTTCAGTCGTCGACCAGCGAGCAAGCGAGCCAGCGAACGATTCATCGACCCACGGGTGTCTTTGCCCGCATCGCGTCGGTCTAGCACCGCTGCCCGCCAACACCAACACCACCACCACCACCACACTCGCTCCCTGTCAAGCCATTTCCCCGTCTGCCATCTGCGTCCAACCCGACTGTCGCCTAACGACGCGCGATTGCCGCCCCATGCCCCAGGAATGCCAACCCCGCTGAACCATGGAAGCCGCGGCGACAAAGGTCCATAACTTGGCCAAGAGCGCATTACCCGAACGACCCTATCATCTCGCCAAATCCATCGACCAGCGCTATCGCGTGCCGCCTGATAAGCTGAAGCTCCTCGAAGAAGAGGAGGTCCGCGCCCTGCAGTACATGACGCTGCTGGCCGACGTCGACCGCGGCCTGCTGCTAACGCGACCATACTACGACATGCGCGAGGAGCCGTCCAGCGCCCACGCGGCGCGAGAACCTGTCGTCAAAACAGACAGGAAGGTGACCAAGTTGTCGCTGAGCGACTACAAGAATAAACAAAAGAGGGTCTCGCCGTCCCCACCCGATTCTGCTTCGGCTGCGAGGGCGCCTGAGGCCCGAAGAGACCCCAGCGACGGGAGTAGAGCGCCCCGCGCGGGCGAGCCGACGAGAGATGGCAGAGGAGCGAGGCCGCCGAACGGGGCTCATGAGGAAAGGTTGGTACCAAGTCGCTTCAGGTTCACCCCCCCCGCCGACGCGCATCGTGAACTGACTGTATACTCGATGGACAGGTCTCAAAAACTTGACACGAGAGGGCATTCAAGCCACGATACGACGACATCCCCCGAAAAACGAAGACGACAGCAGGAAGCAGAAGCACTTGCGCGGCTGCCTAAGAAGCCGCCAATCGATGCGAATGCGCCCTCGGACGATCGCTCGCGAACGCCACGAGACGACAACCCAAGGCGGAAGGAGCCACAGTCGTCGCAAGACAGGACAACGTCGAGGGACCCGAAAATCGGCACGCCATCGACGCTCCCGAATGGTAGGGCCATTCTTAAATCAGCAATCGGCTCGCAGCACAGCTTGACTCCCTCGGGTCGGCCGAGAGGCGACTCTCTCAACGGCCAGCGCTCCAGTTCAAGTGCGATAAACAGGACATCATTGAGCAAGCGCGATGCGCCACCAAGCAAGTCCACTGTTCCGCCATTACTGTCACCTCTGCACTTTCCCATGGAGGAGGTAGATTCACAACCAACCGAGAGGAGAAGGCGAGACGGCATCGACGACCCCCCACGATCAGTCCAGCCAAAGCCGACGAGGACAGCACCGCCGCCGCCAGTCCTGTCCAAGAAGGAAAGATCGCCACAAAAGCTACCGGCGCTCCTGTCACCGACGCTGCCGCCAGCTCTCGAAGAGGAATTGGCTCGTTTTAAGGATACGCCAACAGCAACAAAAACAGCACGGCTGCCTGATCCAGCCGTCAACAATAAGTCCAATAAGCTGCTTAGGAGAGCAGACGACGATGACGAAGAACAAATAAGAGTCAGCACCAAGGACAAGGAAAGGAACAGAGACAGAGATAGGGACAGAAATGGACAGGAGCGCTTCATAGTGACGCTGAAGTGCGGCCGTAAGCACTCCAAGACACTGAAGCGCATCCTGGCCCTTCCACCCCCGAAGAAGGAGCGGCCGCGATCGGCGAGTCTCGAGGCGGCACCGATCATCGCTAGGAAACGACCGGCTAGCAGCGTCGAGGATGTTCGAGACTCGATCGCCGTCAAGAGGCCGCGGACGTCAGACATGGCGAGCTCATCCAGATTGGTGACGCCGTCAACGCCGGCAAAGACGGCCACGGCCATGTCGCGAGGCGCGTCGAACAACTCGCAAGGAAACACTCCAGGCGAAATGAACAGCGTCACGCCGGGAGACCGGCCACCCACCAGGCAGGAGCCGAGGGAGCCCGCCAACCCAGCAACGATACGCAAGCTGCGGGACCGCTACGAGCGGTACAAGGACCTCGGCGGCAGGCTCAAGCACAGACGCGATGCGATGAAGTCGAACCGCGACCGCGCCCCCTCCGAGTCGGATCAAAAGCTCAGCATCGCTCTGTGCCTGGAGAGCGCCATGGCTTACATGGTCTCCTTCCGCGCCGTCTTCGACTCGCGCCGCCTCGAGAACAAGGCCCAGGACCCCAATACCTGGGACACGATCCTGCCGCTGCTCGGCACTCTGCAGCGCGACGTCGGCGACGGTCGCCACCGCGCCCTCGACGCACTCCACCTCCAGCTCAAGGGTGTCATCCTCGAGGAGCTCATCAAGTGCTACTGGTCGCTCGACCCAGCCTCCAGCGCCGTCCGCCTCATGCACTTTGAGCGTCTGCGCGCCAACATATGGAAGAGCGCCTACGACGCTGTTGAGCGCGTCGACGACCCCCACATGCGATGTAACCTTGGACCCTGGACGAGCGCCGAGGAGGCTATCGCGCTGGGTCTCAGGACGGTCCGCCGGTGGGCAGCGGACGAGGGCGTCGACTGGCGACCGGAACTCAGCCCGCAGACGAACGGGCTGTAGAAGGGCGCCGTAGGTCGGCCACAGGCCTCCACGACGTCCATGACGCCATGTATAATGTTCCACAATTGCCATCCAGGCCTTCTTCAATGACGACTAAGACGGATAAATGAGGGCAGCGCACAACGTATTTCAAGGCCTCAGGAAGTTAAAGGGTCGTGATCCTCTCGATCAACGGCCACTCTGTGCCCTTTTGCAAACTACCAGTTCTTCCTCAGGATTTAGCCTTTTTTTTTCTCTTCTTTTCTTTCCTCCCTCTCTCAACGTTGTTGTACATGATGATATCCCTCTATTCGGAGCTCTCTGCGTTGCCTTGCTCTCTTTCGCGGATCACCACACCCACCTGCCTGTCTGCCTCCCACACCGGCCACGAGGGCCAGAGCACGGCAAGGGGGGTTGAGGCGCATCGAGAAACACGGATCCTTTCGACGAAATCGTACATTGGGAAATCGGAACCGGAGTCGAGGGGCCAGCGGCGAGTGGTAATGAATTGCAACTCTTCATTTTCTTCTTCTTCGTCTCCTTCTTCTTCGCACTCTCTCTCTCTCTCTCTCTCTCTCTCTCTCTCTCTCT